CATGCCAGACAAGAAATTTTAACGGCACAACTTTCTTTTCTTGCGTGTCCTCAAATGCCATTTAAACTCCCCCAGGTTAATGATCTCAAAAGAAGTCAATTTCCTCAGCAAAGCACCGCTTACCTTATCGTCTTTGAGATCTTTTTATCTTCCGTTTTTTGGACATTCAGCGAGAAGGAAATTGGCCCTGTAGATGCCTTTTTAGCTGATGGGCTACCACTCGTTTCCCTTTCACTGGCACTGTTCAAAAGTGCAGGAGACGACTGTACTTTACTCATCTGCCCCATCTGCAAAGCAAAATTATATTAAAAAAAATGAGAATATCGGTAACAGAATGTTTTTGCGCTTTTCCAACTGACTGTTTTCCACCAACTCTCTTTGTTTTGCATCACTGCTATTTTATAGCTCATTCACTGCCCTACGGGCTCAGTGTCATTGTTTTTTATAACTTCATATATTACTCAGTTCTCAGGCTTAAATACTGGATCGTCAAGCTGACTAGAATAAGCATTTTCTTTTTTATTCTTTTTATGCGTTTTGCGCTGTGTAACAGCAGCATCAAACGCATATTGTCACGGGGTTGTCTGTGTGTGTTTGGGTGTGTGTCCCTCATTTTGTCCCGGACTTTCAACTCGGGAACCACAAAAGCTAAGCGGTTGAAATTTTAGTACAGTGTTCCCCGCCAACGGATGACGCGGTAAAGTTCAGCCTTCCCGTACCCGCAGGTAACAGGTACGGCCCCGTAAAAGTTTTTCAGGTAAAATCAGTATCTCGGGAGTCACGGAAGATAGAAGACTGAATTTTGCGGGCATGTCCCCCGCCTGTGTGCTATCCAGAAAATTTAAATTCAGCTTTCCCCTGCTCGCGGGTAACATGTACAGCCCTGTGAAAATTTTTGACGGGTAAATTATTATCTCGGAAACCATGGAGTCTAGGAAGCTGGAATTTTAGCTGAAATTGACCCCCTGTCCACGGCAACCTTCCCATTCAAATTCAGCGTTTCCGCGCTTTCGGGTATCCCCTATGGGCTATTGAAATTTTTTGCGAGTAAATTATTATTTCGAGAACCACAAAGTCTACGAAGCTGAAATTTTAGGGTTGTGACCCCTTGCCCACGAACAATCTTGCAAATACATATTCAGCATTCCCGCGCTCTTGAATACCACATGCAGGCTAGTTAACCTTTTTACGGGTAAATTATTATCTCGGGAAACACTGGGTCTAGGAAGCTGAAATTTTAGAGTAATGGCCCCCTGCCCACGCTCAACCTTGCCTATTCAAATCTAGCGTTCCCGCGCTCTTGAGTATCACCTACGGCATCGTGGAAATTTTGGCGGGTAAACTATTAACTCGGGAATCGAGGAAAGATATTCACTCTTCAAGA